CTCTCAACCAGCTTCACCTGGAATGCTTTTCCAACAGTCTTGAAGGTGTTCCCACATATGCTGAGCACTTGTTGGCTGCTTTTCCTTCACTCTGCGGTCCGACTCATCCCAAACCATCTCAATTTGGTTGAGGTCGGGGGATTGTGGAGGCCAGGTCATCTGATGCAGCACTCCATCACTGTCCTTTTTGGTAAAATAGCCCTTACACAGCCTGGAGGTGTGTTGGGTCATTGTTCTGTTGAAAAACAAATGATCCAAGCGTGCCATTAAGCCCAAACCAGATGGGATGGCGTATTGCTGCAGAATGCTGTGGTAGCCATGCTGGTTAAGTGTGCCTTGAATTCTAAATAAATCACAGACCGTGTCACCAGCAAAGCACCCCCACACCATAACACCTCCTCCTCCATGCTTTATAGTGGGAAATACACATGCGGAGATCATCCGTTCACCCACACCGCGTCTCACAAAGACACGGAGGTTGGAACCAAAAATCTCAAATTTGGACTCCAGACCAAAGGACAAATTTCCACCGGTCTAATGTCCATTGCTTGTGTTTCTTGGCCCAAGCAGGTCTCTTCTTCTTATTGGTGTCCTTTAGTAGTGGTTTCTTTGCAGCAATTCGACCATGAAGGCCTGATTCACACAGTCTCCTCTGAACAGTTGATGTTGAGATGTGTCTGTTACTTCAACTCTGTGAAGCATTTATTTGGGCTGCAATTTCTAAGGCTGGTAACTCTAATGGACTTATCCTCTGCAGCAGAGGTAACTCTGGGTCTTCCATTCCTGTGGCGGTCCTCATGAGAGCCCGTTTCATCATAGCGCTTGATCGTTTTTGCGACTGCACTTACCCAATAAACTTTCAAAGTTACTTTAATGTTCCGTATTGACTGACCTTCATGTCTTAAAGTAATGATGGACTGTCGTTTCTCTTTGCTTATTTGAGCTGTTCTTGCCTTAATATGGACTTGGTCTTTTACCAAATAGGGCTATCTTATGTATACCACCCCTACCTTGTCACAACACAACTGATTGGCTCAAACACATTAAGGAAAGAAATTCCACAAATTAACTTTTAAGAAGGCACACCTGTTAATTGAAATGCATTCCAGGTGACTACCTCATGAAGCTTGTTGAGAGAATACCAAGAGTGTGCAAAGCTGTCATAAATAATAATAAATAATATAATAATATGCCATTTAGCAGACGCTTTTATCCAAAGCGACTTACAGTCATGCGTGCATACATTTTTGTGTATGGGTGGTCCCGGGGATCGAACCCACTACCTTGGCGTTACAAGCGCCGTGCTCTACCAGCTGAGCTACAGAGGAAAAGCAAAGGGTGGCTATTTGAAGAATCTCTCATTTAAAATATATTTTGATTTGTTTAACACTTTTTTGGTTACTACATGATTCCATATATGTTATTTTATAGTTTTGATGTCTTCACTATTATTCTACAATGTAGAAAATAGTAAAAATAAAGAAAAACCCTTGAATGAGTAGGTGTTCTAAAACTTTTGACTGGTAGTGTATATAAGGTCCCACAGTTGACAGTGCATGTCAGAGCAAAAACCAAGCCATGAGGTCGAAGGAATTGTTCGTAGAGCTCCGAGACAGGATTGTGTCGAGGCACAGATCTGGGGAAGGGTACCAAAACATTTCTGCAGCATTGAAGGTCCCCAAGAACACAGTGGCCTCCATCATTCTTAAATTGAAGAAGTTTGGAACCACCCTTCCTAGAGCTGGCCGCGTGGCCAAACTGAGAAATCGGGGGAGAAGGGCCTTGGTCAGGGAGGTGACCAAGAACCTGATGGTCACTCTGACAGAGCTCTAGAGTTCCTCTGTGGAGATGGGAGAACCTTCCAGGACAACCATCTCTGCAGCACTCCACCAATCAGGCCTTTATGGTAGAGTGGCCAGATGGAAACCCCTCCTCAGTAAAAAGCACATGACAGCACGCTTGGAGCTTGCCAAAAGGCACCTAAAGAATCTCAGACCATGAGAAACAAGATTCTCTGGTCTGATGAAACCAAGATTGAACTCTTTGGCCTGAATGCCAAGCGTCACGTCTGGAGGAAACCTGGCACCATCCATACGGTGAAGCATAATGGTGGCAGCATCATGCTGTGGGGGTGTTTGTCAGCGGCAGGGACTGGGAGACTAGTCAGGATCGAGGCAAAGATGAACGGAGCAAAGTAGAGAGATCCTTGATTAAATCCTGCTCCAGAGCGCTCAGGACCTCAGACTGGGGCGAATGTTCACCTTCCAACAGGACAACGACCCTAAGCACACAGCCAACACAACGCAGGGGTGGCTTCGGTACAAGTCTCAATGTCCTTGAGTGGCCCAGCCAGAGCCCGGACTTGGACCAAATCGAACATCTCTGGAGAGACCTGAAAATAGCTGTGCAGCAACTCTCCCCATCCAACCTGACAGAGCTTGAGAGGAGCTGCAGAGAAGAATGGGAGAAACTCCCCAAATAAAGGTGTGACAAGCTTGCAGCGTCATACCCAAGAAGACTCAAGGCTGTAATCGCTGCCAAAGGTGCTTAAACAAAGTACTGAGTAAAGGGTCTGAATACTTATTTAAATGTGTACCGGTTTTTGCTTTGTTATTACGGGATATTTTTTTAATCAATTTTAGAACACGGCTGTAACCTAACAAAATGTGGGAAAAGTCAATGGGTCTGAGTACTTTCCAAAGGCACTGTATATAACTTTGCTGAACTATCCATTAAACACATGAAAAAAAGAGTAACTATCATTAAGGTTAGCTACTTTCATTTATTTTAAAGACTGCAATAGTGTGTTATACAACCAACAGACCTGAATTAAGATGATTGATGTATGATTGTGAAGAACATGATTGTGGATGGATGTGTAACTTTACAGTTTAGTGAGGCGATACATGTCCAGTGCTTACGATTGTTTGAACCAAACTCAATGAAATGTAATTATTTCAGAAACAGATTTATCCACAGAAAATGCCTAGGTTTACCAGACCATTTACCATCTGGTTAGTAAGGCATCAACAGAATGGCAGGAGAGCTACCTGTCGGTCCAGAACTTCAGTGTGGGAATCCTTGTGAGAAGGGAAGCATAAACCACGTCTAAAAAATTTACTAGCTTTCAAATCTTTGCTCCCTCCATCCTTGTTTCCTCCACTCTTTGCCCTACCTCTCAAAGTGTATTGGAGAAGATCCTAGGTCCCTCCTTGAGCCTTGAGGGAGGGCAAGACGAAGCATGAAACGGCAGAAACAGCCATAGTGTAAGATCTATCCCATCTTTCCACCCATGAGCTGCTGTCTTCTCACATCATGGGAACTGGGAAGACTGTCCTGATACTGTTGAAGTCTCTTTCTGAGTATGGAAACACAATATTTGGGCTAAATTCACCTCAGAGCAACCAATGTGATCTTTTAGAGAAAATCACATACGTAAATAGCGTTGAAATGGGCATTTAAAAACTGCATGATTTGGATTAACTCTGAAATGAGTGACTCAGTTCCTCTGGGTCTGCCAAGTACACTGCTGAACCTAATGTCACAATAAGACATACAGAGCCTTCAGAAAGTATTCATACTCCTTGACTTATTCTACATTTTGCTGTGTTACAGCCAGAATTCAAAATGTATTTAAAAAATATGTTTGCTTCTCACATCTACACACAATACCCCATGATGACGACAAAGTGAAAACATGTTTTGAGAATTTTTTGAAAATGAAATCTCATTTAAATAACATTTACATTTACGTCATTTAGCAGACACTCTTATCCAGAGCGACTTACAAATTGGTGCATTATAGGGGGGGGGGGTAGAAGGATTACTTTATCCTATCCCACGTATTCCTTAAAGAGGTGGGGTTTCAAATGTCTCCGGAAGGTATTCACACCCGAGTCAATACTTTGTAGAAGCACCTTTGGCAGTGATTACAGCTGTGAGTCTTTCTGGTAAGTCTCTAAGAGCTTTCCATACCTGGGTTATGCAACATTTGCCCATTATTCTATTCAAATCTCTTCAAGCTCTGTCAAATTGGGTCTTGATCATTGCTAGACCAATATTTTCAAGTCTTGCCATAGAATTAAGTAGATTTAAGTCAAAACGGTAACTAGGCCACTCAGGAACATTCACTGCCTTCTTGGTAAGCAACTCGTGTAGATTGTCTTGCTGAAAGGTGAATTAATCTCCCAGTATCTGGTGGAAAGTAGACTGACCTGGTTTTCCCTTAGGATTTTTGCCTGTGCTTAGCTCCATACAGTTTCTTTTTTATCCTGAAAAAGTCCCCAGTCCTTAATGATTACAAGCATACCCATAACATGATGCAGCCACCACTATGCTTGAAAATATGGATGGTGGTACTCAGTAATGTGTTGTATTGGTTTTGCCCCAAACATAACTTTTTGTCTCGAATACAAAGTTAATTGTTTTGCAATATTAATTTAGTGTGTTGTTACAAACAGGATGCATGTTTTAGAATATTTTTTATTCTGTACAGGTGTCCTTATTTTCCCTTCTGTCAATTAGGTTAGTATTGTATAGTAACTACAATGGGATATTCAACATCTGCTTTTTATGTAAAAAATTTTTTTTACACATCTACCAATAGGTGCCCTTCTTTTCGAGGCATTGTAAAACCTCCCTGGTCTTTGTGGTTGAATCAGTGTTTGAAATTCACTGCTCGACCTTACAAATAATTGTACGTGTGGGGTACATAGATGAGGTACTCATTCAAAAATCATGTTAAACACTTATTGCACACAGAGTCCATGCAACTTGTGAAGCACATTTTTACTCCTGAAATGATTTAGGCTTGCCATAAAAGGGTTTGAATACTTATTGACAAGACATTTCAACTTTTCATTTTTAGTTAATTTGTAAAGATTTCTAAACATAATTCCACTTTTACATCATGGGGTATTTTATGTACGCCAGTGACACTATTTAATCAATTAAAAATTCAGGCTGTAAAAAGAAAATGTGGGAAAAGTCAAGGGGTGTGAATACTTTCTGAAGGCACTGTAGCAGTCAAGCCTTGCATTGACTTCCAAGTAGATAACCAATTGTCCACCTCTCAATCACTACATTGTGCAAACTTCCAACCTCAAAGCCTTTAGAAAAATAACCTGGAACATAACTTGGTCTATACTTCAATACCGCAATTCACAAGAAATATTCAAGTGAATCATGTAGGGTAAATAGTGGTATTAGAAATACATTGTATGCGGTTGGTTATAGTATGGTGAGTATGAAAGATTCAAATAATAAAATTACAACGCAGTCATTATCTTATTGCAATGTGCCTGGGTAATAATGGAATTCTAGTTTGTTTCTTATTACACAGATGGATATTTAAATCAAATATAAAGGCACATGACAACATTTCTCAAGTTGACTTTAAAACAAGCACCCCTAAGAAAAGCATTATCAAACAATGGAGCTACACTGAATATCCAACAAACGCTTCACATTGTACAAATCCAATGCACCAAACCACTTTGAAAATGTCAACATGGAACTCTCATGGGGATGGTTGGTCAGTCTATGAAAAACCTAGGACACAGTCATATTGTATTTCATTGTAAAGTAGTACTGTGTTAAGGCAACTCCCTGCCTCTTAGCTGCTTGAAGAACCCTGTCCGAAGATTAAAGGTCCCAATACATAGTAATACAGGGGAAATATCTACAGCTGTAGAGCCTGACTTGACCACACAGTTTTTAGAGAGTTCAGTCTTCATTCAGCCACCCTCCCGGTCCTAGTCTTTCCTTCAAGAGAGCCCATGGCAGGGCTGGAACTAAAACCAACCGCTGCCTTTGCCCTCTGAACCAGGCCTTTCATCCCCTTGTATTCATAGCAGCGTTTCGGTTGGTGAAACCATCTCCGATACTCTTTCTGAAAGCATGTTGCATGATGTTTGTATATGAGAGCATGTGTCGAGAAAGAAAAGGTAGAAAAACATTAACACTTTGGTCCATGCATTATCTAACTTGGCTGCGAGTTTCAAAAGTCGGAGCACCCCGTTTACATGGCAATTGACAACCTAGCCATTGTAGGTTTCACCTCTAGTGGTATTTCTTTATCCGTTTTCCTTCCACAGAACCAAGTGAATGCTATGATCGGGCATGCTGGTGGCGAACACGAGGCCAGAGTCATTTCTCCCATCCAGCCCATTGAGCCAGGAGGTGACTCCCGGCAGGAAGCTGGAGCCTCGTTTGGACTTCCTGTAGGCGGGCAGGGGCCAGCGGCCCGTTATAGTTTCTGTCCTCAGGTCCATGACATACAGGAAGTCAGTGTCGAAGAGGAGCGAGAACACCTCGCCGAAGCTGAGCAGGGAGAGGTTGGCGGGGTCCTGCGTTTTGATGACCCTGGAAAGAAGGACAAGGAGATTCAGTAACTGCATGAGATTGTTGGCAGGTAAGGTTCCGTTACATTCCATGTACGAACACCCTCAGAAGTCCTTTTGTTCGTAACCATGGATATCGTTATTGATATACTTATTCTAATTGCAGTGGTCTCTAGTTCTTTGTTCTATAAATAAAACGTGTTCCTGGTTACAGTGGTGACTTGCACTGACCTGCTGAGGGCCTCAGCTTCTCATCAGGTAAAGATGGCCATCTATTGGTCAAATGTGTCTACTTCTCCATGTATGGCATTTAAACAATCATTATGTCAAACCCTTAAAGATGCCTTTTTTACCACCAGAATATTGCTACATTTGAATAACTACACATATGAAAATACATTTGTTGGAGGCATATTAACTCAAATTTAAAAGATGACCTTCAGATAAGTGCTGCAAGTTTAAGTTGGAATGTTTATTTGAAACAGAAAATAAATAGATATACAGTCATGAACTGATTGATACAAATTGATTTCATAAAACTGATTTGTTTAAATAACAGAACATGGCACATAGAACAAAACATCACAGTAACGTAACTAATAATAATTTAAATGGTGCAATAGTATTCCCCCTCCATCCCATCCATGAAGAGTGGAGCCATAGTTTGCACTGGAACCAAAACACCATGTCCTCATCCTCCTCTGAGGGGAGGGGTCAACCTCCCCAGGTGCACTGTAAATGTTGAGGCTCGTGCAGGCTGAGGGGAAAAGGAAGAGTAACTATTAACTCATTTTTGTACATAATGTTCATCATGATTGTATTTCAACTTGTGTAAATCTAAAACATATCTTTATTTCTATATGATCATACAGATCACTGTATTTAACCTGTCATACTGATGAAGGTATGTGTCCACCACCATCTCCGCATCAGCAACACCAACATCTGAACGGCCCATGACATCACAAGGTTAAATATATGACAAGGTTAAATACAGTGATCTGTATGAGGTAGAAATAAAGATTTGTTTGTCGATTTACACATTGTACAATTGGCTAGACGGTACACAACTGCTGCAAAATGGAGAAAAAAATGATTTAAAGAATACCTGGGTAAACATTCGCTGTTTCTGGCATGGAGCTAGCGGTGTTGGTAGAAGTATGGCCTATGGAGGATATGTTTAAAGTTAGGGGCAATACACTAAGCATATTGTTTTGTATTATAAAAACAGACAAACAATGTTAACAAAATTAAAATCAAAATAAAATAGTTTACCTGTTCTCTTTTTGTTTCCAGAGGGAGAGGAGTCAGCTGGTAGCCGTGACGATGGAGGCCAGATGCGACGAGGGGTGGGGATGCTGGAGCTAGTGGTTGTTTCAGGAGGGGGTGGAGCTGTGGTGGCGGTCTACTCCTGGGCCCGCTACCTGCTTGCTGCTGCCTGCTGTTCCTTCTGAGCAGCAGCAGCCCCCTTCTCTCCTGCCTTCACTTGAGCGGTCTTTGATAGTCCTCCCCTGTAATAACCCTTGCCACCACAGCGAGACGGTATGTTGTCATTTTGTCAAATGAGGAACAAACCAATAGATCTGCCAGGTCAAGGGGGATAAGGTGAGCTGCCACCAGTGGGCGGGCTGATGGGTGGAGAGGAGTAGCCAAAAATCGAAAGCGCCAATTTCAAGGGGTTTAAGGACATAAGAAAAGTGAGATGGGAGACAGAAGAACGACGCCTTCCCTTCTGGCGGTGTCCACCACTTTCAGGTCCATGTGGGAACAATGGCCGTCAAACAGCGGAAGCAGTGGGCACTCCTGGACTGCTTGTTTTAGAAACCTGGAATCACTTCCTAAATAGCTCTGAGTCTACGTAGCCGGAGGGTAATTTAATACAGAGCATTGGCTCGGCCATTCTGTGTGCATGTCCCTCTAGTATATCCCTTTGCAAAGATGAAGGGAAGGATATCCTTTCCAGCTGCACTCAGACAAGCCAGCACAGTGACACTGTCCCTCGTCCCTGGCGCCTAGAGGTAAGGCTGTTTGAAGCCTCTCTCCACAATGACCTTGCCCCGGGTCAGTTCTAAATCTGTGCTGGCCTTTCCATCAGTCTGTTTTCCTCCAGTGTCTTGCCGAGGAGCTCAAAGTATTGGTCGACCTTACTTTGCGGTGTGTTGGCAGTAGTTGGGTCCAGTTTAGTGGAAAGCCTTGCTTTGCGGTGTGATGACAGCAGTTGGCCAAGGCATCCTCATCTTCTGATGACAGAAGCGTTTTTTTGTCCGCTGCGGGCGCCAGGGGCCACCCGATCACTCATCCTGTCCCCCAGCATTGATTTAGGGACCCAGAACCGCTTGGCTGTCCACCTGACACTCCTCCATAGCCCTTGCCATATTCTGCTCACTCCATTACTTCATATTTCAATAAATCTAAAATAAAATACTTAGCAACAGCAAAGCATCCAGTCTGTATTCGTTGAATTATTGTGGTCATTATACCACACTTGCTGTCTAGCTACAAATGTAATAATCTGCATGGGTTTTACTGTGGGTGTAATATACTTAGATTCTTATTATATTACTTGTTATAACATGTTCATAGTTATGTAATAATAAATGGCCCCAGTTCATAAACACAATGTTTATTAGTTTGATGAAAACATAAATCAACAATGAATTTATCATTACAATTTATTTTTAAAAATGCATTTAATTTGTATTGGTTTAATGTGTCGACAACATTTACTGATCTTGAATCGCCTCGCAAAGTCTGCATATGATTCCAAATCCGCCAGCTGAGAAACGCATTCTCATTCCACTATGGATCTCCGTCTACCAGCAGGAAAACTAATTGTTTCATTTGATCCTCCTTGGCTTTTATAGCTATGGGTGTCATGGCAACTAAATTCTGAAATGCTAGCCTCCATGAGCTAAATGGAGAGAGATTGGAGGTGATGAGTGAGGAGCTGGCAGGAGCCGGTCGTTGCAAGTTAATCATTTAAGAGCTTAAACTGTACATTTGGTCACATGTAGAAGAAGTGTGGCCGTCTTTATATCACTAAATATGTATGTAGAGTATCGAAATTCTGTATTTGCACTCTTGAATGTGTTACAATGTATGAGACCTATTTTTTGCCAAGGGAGTTTAAATGGTCGTGGGAAATGCGTCACGGGTAAGCATTTCCGAGCATACATGGCCTGTCTGAGCATAAAAGATGAAGCGCAAAGTTCTGTTTATCAGGAAACAAGGCCCTGGGCAGTTTTTACCTGAGGATATCGAAGCTGGCGAAGTCCCACTGGTAGACCCCCAGGTCCGAGCTACAGACAATGTAGCGGCCGTCAAACTGCAGGCGAGGCTGCAGACACACACTGCGGTCCTCTGACACGGACAGGGTCTTCAAGCACTTGCAGTTGATTTCCCTGCCTATAGGCCAAACCTGTGAAATAACCAATGATACATAGAAACATATGAATGAATATTATATATATATATATATATATATATATATATATATATATATATATATATATATATATATTATATATATATATATATATATATATATATATATATATATATATATATATATATATATATATGTAGAGATAATGCAGCTCTGTGGTCAAACGGAGCTGAGGGGGGACACCATGTGGGCTTCTTCAGTATTACAGTGACAAGACAGCACAGGGTCAATCATTGCGTGAAAGTTGAAAAGGCGGTGGATGCAAAGCAGCACAAATTAATGAACCACATTACCTTTATTTCATATTTATCTGAACTCAACAGGATGTAGTCACCAGGACAGTGTACCATGGATTCTACTTCACTCTTCTGGAGAATCACCTACACAGGGGAGGAAAAGGTTTGAGAGTCTTAAGACTTGACAAGTTAGACCATCTAATATTCCTATTGAATACTGGGCAGCTTGCAGTTTGGATCCTTCATCTAGTATTCCTATTGAATACAGGGCAGCTTGCAGTTTGGATCCTTCATCTAGTATTCCTATTGAACACTGGGCAGCTTGCAGTTTGGATCCTTCATCTAGTATTCCTATTGAACACTGGGCAGCTTGCAGTTTGGATCCTTCATCTAGTATTCCTATTGAATACTGGGCAGCTTGCAGTTTGGATCCTTCATCTAGTATTCCTATTGAACACTGGGAAGCTTGCAGTTTGGATCCTTCATCTAGTATTCCTATTGAACACTGGGCAGCTTGCAGTTTGGATCCTTCATCTAGTATTCCTATTGAACACTGGGCAGTTTGCAGTTTTTTGACAATTTACCAGCAGAAAAAACAGTGAGTGTGCTAGACAGGGCTTTGCTCAGGAATGCAACACTGTGCAAACTTCTTCTTTCATCCATTTCGCAGGCACTTGCACAAGACAATGTGCGCATTTCAGATTGTGCATAGAAAATCACTGATCTACAAATCCTTGCATCCAAAAATCGCTACTTATGTGATCAAGATTTGCAATTCTACACTATTCTGCCCCAGGACCTCAACGGAACCCCACAAACATGCAGATAAAATGTTCTGATTCAAAACCATTTGCAGCTGAGCAGCGATCCTGAATGTAATTCAGGACAGATTGGTAGGGTTTACCTTGGTGACCCACTCGGTGTGTCCCGTCAAGGTGTTGAGGCAGGCGCCTGCTGACAGGGCCCACACCTTCACAGAGAAGTCGGCCGAGCCGCTCACCAGCGTGTCCAGATCATCATTGTAGTCCACGCTAAACACTGGCCGAGCCAAGGAGAGAGAGACCTGGTGTTAGTACACCAATCCAAAAGGCTATGCAACACATTTGGTGTGACAATCATAATTTCGTACACTTAGAAGTTTTTTCTCCCTATAACATAAGAAATATAAGATTTGATATGTGAAAAGAGACATTTGATGCTAGAACGCTGAATAATGATAATTTCTATGCAACCGAGGCTACTTGGAGGCAGCTCATGCATAAAATCTGTTTATATTTGCCTGTCAATCAAAACCCCACAGATCAGCAGAGGCCAGCTGTCTCTAGGAACCACTAGGCACAATATAAGAGTATGGGAGAAAAGACTGCAATACCACAACGCCCACAACAAACCTTTTATCAGAAGACCTCTGAGAATTAAATCTTTCTTCACAAGTTGGTTCTTATGGACACATTTTGTAAAAACCCAAAGGCTTGTTTATTATGTCACTATGGTGGGATATCCCTTCGCAATATCCTTTATGTCAGGAATTGGACACAGTATGCACGATCTGCAAAACACCTCAAGTCAGCAAATGGGAAGGTTGGAGACGACCCAGGGGTCCCCTGACCTGCACCCGTGTGCCCACGGAACTGCTGGATCTTGGCCCCCGTGCTCCACTCCCAGCAGGCGATGGTGTTGTCAAAGGACCCCGTCACCAGCTTCTGCTCGTCAAACTTCACCGTGGCGCAGGTGTGCGTCTGAATGCCGTAAATGCACTGCCCGGTGCGGACGTCCCACAATTTGGCAGAAAGGTCATCAGAGCCTTTGAAATAATTGGTGAATTTTACAATGAGGAATTACACACCGAGTGTAACAGCAACGTAATTTTAACAGACTACAAAAGATCACTAGCAAACTAGCGATTATTATAGATTTTCCATTTTGCACAAAAAATGCCACTTTAAGCAGCACTCACAGCTGCTAACACCAAACCCTTAATTTCAACCCAAGAAGCCAAAGAGAGCACACAATTAAGACGCCGTCCCGTCAACGTTATGGCAGAGAAAGACTTAACACTACTACAACCCAAAATGACCATAACCCACCTGTGCAGAGAAGGCCGTCCTTGTAGTATAGGGCGTAGACGCGCGCACTGTGCCCAATGAGCGACGACGTCTCAAACGCCTCCTGGTTCTTCAGCTGCATCATGCGCAGCTTGGCCTTGAGGTAGACACCCTTCCAGTGGGACGCATCCTGGATGGAGTCGTCGATGCGCCAGCCCAGGTCCCGACACACGCCCTGCCACACCTCCGTGCACGCGCTGATCACCTGCGGCAGATCCCAAAAGGATGTTATAGTTCAACCAGAACCACAGAGGACAAAGAAACCCAAACAAAATACAAATCTAACAGAGGCAAATCTTAGGGGGAAAGGTACAAAATGCGAAGGTCCAATATCAAAGTGAACCTCAGTAACGGATTTTTAAAAATGTCACGTTAGAACACGCAGGAGAATTAACGTTGATAGCTTTTAAAAAATACATAATTTTTACAATGAAAAAAGTGATTGATTTTTCATGCCACGAGAGGTACAGGATCCAGCCAAATAGGTTCTGGAACAAAACAGTCCAAAACGGAGTGGTGCCGGATCCTGTTCTGGCAGGCTCCAGCTCAAATTAAGCACTGGCTCCTGCTGAAAAGCAAAGACTATGCTGTAGGCTACCAAAATATTTGATCAACTTCCAAATATTGTTTTACCAAAGAGAGAGAAAGAGAGAGGGGCTTTTGGCACGAGCACATCGGCCATCACCAGCGAGTGAGCTGTGCATCATTGGGTGAGTCAGTGAAACTGGAAAGCATTTTTAGGACTATAACTTCCTCCTCATATTGTAGCCTACAATGTGTCTCCACACACCTAGGGATAGGCTATTGAGGGATTCAAGACAAGGTCATTTTCATTGATCTCAGATTCTCAGTTTGTCAAAGTAGCCAGTAATTTCAATAATTTGTACTGTATTAAAAAAGATTCTGCCAAAGTCTCATGTAAAATGACGTAGAATTGCATGAATGCGTTTATAAAAAGGCCACATTTTTCCCAGACCCTAGGCTACTAAAAATGTTTCCCATGTGTGCAACTTATTCAAGTCTTCTGTAGGGGGGAGTTTTGTTAAGAGGCGCACCGCTTGGTCTAAACATTAACAAGCATTGCTTGTGGTACGGTTTTGGAAGAATAAAGACCTTATCTTTCATGTTGGTGAGAAATAATTTTGTAAGAACAAAAGGTTCAATTGAAACACCTTTATAGGGTTAGGGTTCCCACACAGCCATATTTCCATGTTACAGCGCTTGTTTACAGAAAACAGACTGAAGACAGTGGACTACCTGTGCTAATTAGCTATCTGCGTCTCCGAACACCTGAGTGTAAACGGAAGAAAGACGCAACAAACGTGTTGTTACTGAAAAATACTGTTGGCTGCAACTGTGTTAAAACAGTTTACAGTAAGTGTGTATTTAGCATTTGTGAAATTATTTTGTGATATGAATGTAGAGGGATTTATGTTTCTAGAACCATACCACAATTGAGAATCGATTCACGTTTAAATGAAGTATTTGGCTGTTTTGGCTTCCTTTTTGCCAATTCACCTGTTAAACTGAACATGTAAGGTCTTTGGACTTAGGAGTAACGTTAGGCTCCTTTAGTCCAATATTGGGCTAGTCAGCACGATGGTGTGAAAAGGGTATAACATGAATTCTGACCTAGGTTCTATCTACTACACACCACCGGAGAGCCAACCACCATGACAGAGTGAGAGAGCCTGACCTTGTTCCACTGCTTGCACACCAGGCAGCAGGTAAGCAGGGTCTGCGGGTCCAGGCAGCGCAACAGGTAGAAAGTGAGTTCCAGGGGCAACAGGCGCAGGAAGTCCCTCTTAAGCAGCGCCTCCAGCCCATTGGACAGGTGCCGGAGCTGGACAGCATTACTCAGCGAGATGAGCTGGTCCAGGGACTGGTTGCGCTGCTGGTCACTAAGCGTGAGGAAAGAGGCGGAGACTGACTCCAGCCACCCCTCAAAGGCCGCCTTCTCCATGGGCACATGAGAACGTCGACCTGCGGTTTCAGGGTTGAGTAATGATAATTAGCTACATAACATTATCTATTTAAAATCATCTTTGCCAGTTTGGGAAACATTACTAGCAAATGTCTACTTCCAAATAATTTACTTAAGCCTAGCTGATAAATGTTTACGGCGAAATTAGTTCTTAGCTAACGTTAGATACAAGACTGCCTTTGTGTTGTTGTATTGAGTAGAAAAGCTACTGTTCTGACTAAGTATCTAGGTAGCTAGCTAGTTTGCTATTACTTTAAAAAGGACAACGCTAAGAATTCAAGGAATGTAGCTAGCTTTGCAGATAACGGTACCTAGTTAACGTTAGCCAAGTTGCTAGCTTGGTGTACAAGGTACCTTACCACTGAAACTAACGTCAACATTTATAACTTTTAGGTTATATATACACACACCTTGCTAGTTAGTAAATAATACAATGGCTAGCAAAACTTACCATTTCCCGTTGAACCCGTATCGGTAGGAGGTATTACGCTAGCTAGCTCACAAGCTAGCTAGCCAAGGCAGACAGGAAAAACGTATTCTTGGCCTGTCATTCTACAAAACAAAAACTCTTACAATAGAACACTTAGTCAGAAAAGTCAACTTATCTAGATATGTCAAAAAGTTTATCAGCTGAGAAAATAAGAAAACGTTAGTTAGCTTTTCTGGCTAGCTGGAATCAGGGAACCTGCTTCTTTCCGAAGCCTGTTAATTAAAGGTTAGGTAATGCTAAGCATTGCATTATACGCACCAAAGAAATTGCAGAGTTACTTCTTACCCAAACGTAGATTAATACGTTTATTAACGTTAGCTAGCCAGGTCCAATCTAGCTGGATGCAACCCTCTTTTTGCAAGCTACTATTTCTGCAAACCTCCTTCCGGCTACTTAGCAATGTTGTTCCGGGTCAATCTCTTTCACCTTTGTCAGAATATGAAACTTCACCCAAAGATGGTGAATAAATGTCTAGTGCTATTCGGAATCTTTGGGACGTCCCTACCCCAAACCCTTACCATTGGGACGTATAGCAAGGACCGTGGATAAATGACGATAGCAAAGACAGAACAGTATGAAGATCGAAGCAGTTTCTGTCTCCCCGATCACACTTTTAGGCGATGTCATGGAGACGTTGTCTAGCTAAACTCATGCGCAGAAACACGTAGTCTAATCTAACGGTCGTCTCGCGCTGAACTGCGCATGTGCAGGCCTCAAACGGCACTCCTTCGATATAAAGTTGTTTTTGACGAAAACATGTCAGTTTGTCACTTTCACGAGATTGGAGTAATACCATGTTCAACTACTTAAGACATGGGCTTGAATTTAGGTTGTGCCTTTAGATTTCGAGAACATTAACTACTAAGGATGAATGTTTCACTTCTCCCATTGACTTCTCAAACCCCAAAACCACTGCCTGGTCTTTTTGGTCTGTTTCGCAAGCGTTCCCGAGATGTTGCGCCTCTGGGTTTGGAAACTGACGATAGTTCACTCTGGCCTTAACGGAGTGGTATTATAGACGCCCTTTGTGTTGGCAAACATTGCCGCACGAGGGCGATGCGCGCAAGTTGGTGGCACGGAGTTTTATAGAACGCCAGCAAAAAAAATCCTCTATTTACATGTTGCTTATGAGTTCATTTCACACTACTTTTGGATTAATGGGATTTTAAGGCTCGTATGAATGTCCTGCTTAATATACTGTTTGTCATCATCGCAAATCAACTGCATTATACTTAAACACTTCAACCAGTAAAATGGCGCTTTTGCTACAGCCTATGTCAATGAGTGTTAGCATTCTAGCTAACTGCTGCTGCATCAAAGTTATTTTGCAAAGATCACAACCAAATATAATCTTAGCGACTGTCAAGAATCAAAGCAAGAATCAAAACATCATTGTAAGTGTATGCGATCCCCCAAAATGTATTTTGTTTAGAAGTAATAACGTAAATCTAGGCTATGGCTTTTACTGCAGCCAAGAGTCCCACGCATCTGTGCATCACTTCAGGATGTCGTGTACTGGAAAGAGGTCTCAGTGGGTGGGTCTCCCATAGACACCAATGCAGCTGGGTCTGGTCTTAGTTCAGTGACTTTCATTGAAAACATTTGAACCAACAGAAAGAAACTGACAAGGGAGAAGGCACCCACCTGTACAGCATCAACCCACAATGAAGATGAATGGAGGATTTCAATAATGTGATCACATACTGACATTAACAAGATGTTAAACTAAACTAAGCCTACATGTGTTGTTTTATTTAAAAAGTTGTCTAACTTTATTTAACACAATTATCCACTCTTGTAGTGCTGCTAATAACGGGGAAAAAAACCTAATTGAACCAGAAATAAAAAACACTGCGAGTGGGGTATCTCGCTTCCTCTTCGGTCTCTGATTCATCCTTATGATTGTGGATTCACAGGATGCAATACTGCCACCTAGCTAGTGAATGACGAAAAAGCAGCAAGTCAAATTATGGAGAAAGAAGAAAAAAAAGGTGGTTTCCACCCTCTATGATAGGGTCAACAGCTGATCAATGAAAAATCCAGTGTTAACTGGTTTGTCCTGACCAAATTGTATCGTGGCGTCTGACAATAATTTTTACATTTTATTTTTACAATTTCCCCAGGATTCCCAAGTTGGTAAGTACACTACACTGTATGTGGACAACAATTCAAATGAGTGGATTCAGCTATTTCAGCCACATCTGTTGCTGACAGGTGTATAAAATCGAGCACACAGCCATGTAATCTCCATAGACAAACATGGGCAGTAGGATGGCCTTCCTGAAGAGCTCCGTGACTTTTAACATGGCACCATCATAGGATGCCACTGTTCCAACAAGGGTCAACTGTAAGTGATGTTATGGTGAAGTGGAAACGTCTACGAGCAACAACGGCTCAGCCGCGAAGTGGTAGGCCATACAAGCTCACAGAACGGAACCACCGAGTGCTGAAGCACGTAAAAAATAGTCTGTCCTCGGTTGCAACACTCACTACCATGTTCCAAACTGGCTCTGGAAGCAACGTCAGCAAAATAACTGTTCGGTCGGGAGCTTCATGAAATGGGTTTCCATGGCCGAGCAGCCTAAGATCACAATGCCAAGCGTGGGCTGGAGTGGTGTAAAACTCGCCGCCATTGGACTCTGGAGCAGTGGAAACGCATCTCTGGAATGATGAATCACGCTTCAACATCTGGGCAGTCCGATGGACGAATCTGGCTTTAGCGGATGCCAGGAGAACGCTACCTGCCTGAATGCATAGTGCCAACTGTAAAGTTTGGTGGAGGAATAATGGTCTGGGGCTGTTTTTCATGGTTTGGGCTAGGCCCATTCGTTCCAGTGAAGGGAAATCTTAACGCTACAGCATACAATGACATTCCAGATGATTCTGTGCTTCCAACTTTGTGACAATAGTTTGGGGTAGGCCCTTTCCTGTTTCAGCATGACAATGCCCCTGTGCAAAAAGCGAGGTCCATACAGAAATGGTTTGTCGAGATCGGTGTGGAAGAACTTGACTGGCCTGCACAGAGCCTTGACCTCAACCCCATCGAACACCTTTGGGATGAATTGGAACGCCGACTGAGTCAGGCCTAATCGCCCAATATCAGTGCCCGACCTCACTAATGCTCATAGTTGAATGGAAGCAAGTCCCCGCAGCATGTTCCAACATCTAGTGGAAAGCCATCCCAAAAGAGTGGAGGCTGTTATAGCAGTGAAGGGGGGACTAACTCCATATCAATGCCCATGATTTTGGAATGAGGATGTTTGCAGGTGTCCACATACACATACACTGCCAAAAGTATCTGGCTGACCAATTTAACTTCACTAAGCACAAAAGATTGGTGGTCCCACTGACAGTGAAGAAAGCTGGTACAAACCTGAAAGAGCTACCAGTGCGTTTTAATGCCAACATATGTAACAATGTGTTAAAGACCACCTTATTATCTATCCCACCCGTGCAACGTATTTACAGACCTGGGTCTGCCTGTTTGGCTATGCTTTTCCCACTTGGGACTCCCGAGTGGTGCAGCGGTCTAAGGCACTGCATCTCAGTGCTAGAGGCATCACTACAGACCCTGGTTCGATTCCAGGCTGTATCACAATCCGGCTGTGATTGGGAATCCCATAGGGCGGCGCACAATTGGCCCAGCATCGTCCGGGTTTGGCCGGTGTAGGCCATCATTGTAAATAAGAATTTGTTCTTAACTGCCTAGTTAAATAAAGGTTAACAAAAAAAAAAATATATATATATATATATATATATCCGTGGTTGGTGGACCGTTCTGATAATGAATGCGTTGTAGAGTGGTGCCCAGGAAATAATTAAATCAATTTGTTAGATGCTACCACTCCCTTAAAAACCTAAACTAAAAACACGGACGTCAATGTTTGAGCGCACACACTCCATTCTACTTGTCTGTGGCAGCATGGTGCCCATATTGACCCAGGCCCCCAGTGTCTGTTCTGGAGCGTGAAGTCACAAGCTCTGCTGGTCAGCTACTGCGTAGCAAACTAGCGGTGCCAAAAGCCCTAGTCTGCCCTAAACTATGTAAATTACGATCACCAGAACGGGCAAACCATTTTTTGTTGTTTGGCCTCCCGGCCCAGAAAAACAATTTCCATAGATGGCCACATAGGGAAGTCAGATTAGAAAATTCCTAATAAGACACTTTAGTCATCACCATTGTGCACAAAACATCCATTGAATTATTCAAATTGTCGCTGAAGTTTTTATTCCATCACTCACAACCGAAGATATTTACATTTTATATTCATCCAATGTCTGCCATGTTTTTGGATGACTGATGACGTCATCGCTGCTCCCTGTGCGCACGGACTGCCAGTGGCATGTGATGTTTTGGTCCATGCTGGTCTGTATAAACCGGATGCAACCCTGGATATAGACGATCCATGAATCGGCGTGTGCGAACATGAGTAGATTACCTTAAACAACAGTCGACATCTCGGACTCAAGTCTCCAGTTCTTGTTATATCTAGTGCTCGTGCAATCATGC